CCTCTTCCTCAAGGACGACTTCATTCTCCAGGTGGACCGGCTGCCGGGCAACCACTCCCAAGGTCTGGGGGCCTCCCCCGGCGCGGGTGGGGTGGGCCTGGGGCTGCACAAGGGCCGTGGGACTCTGGGCTCTGGGGGGCGGAGCGCGGGTCCTGCCTCGGTGCTGGGCCCAGGGCCACAGGATCAGGCAAGGCCTCCTGCAGCGCGTGACGCTGGGACAGCCCATGGGGTCCTCCTGGTGACGTCATCCCTGCCCCTCCAGCCAGCCCCCCGGGGGTTCCACAGGGAGCTGCCACATTTGTGGACGCGTGCAGTGGGGACAAGATGGACTGTGTGGCAGAGATCGCAGTGCCCGAGGTCCTGGAAGGTGAGGATGGCAGTCCGGGTCATCCGGGAGCACAGGGCAGATGCAGGGGCCTGGTCTGAGGTCACTGTTCACTCGCAGAGGACGAGGAGCCGGACAGCGTGGAGCGGGCCTGTGACACTCTGCTCCTGTGCATCGTCACCGTCATGAACCACGGCCTGCGCAACGGTGGCGGTGTGGGCGACATTCTCCGCAGGCCCTCCAAAGATGTGAGCACCTGCGTCCGCCAGGGCCGCTCTCCAGGGCCGTGGTTCCCACCCTCTTCCTCCCCGCTCGCCCACCGCCCACCGGTGCAGACAGATGGGGGAGACCTTGGCAGCCAGATCTGGCCCCAGGGCTGGGAGGTGTGAGTCAGGGGAGGCTCCGGTTTCCCGCCTCTCCACAGTCGGAGGTGGGGTGGGAAGCTGAGTCAGCTTGGCCTGCAGCGCTGGGATGGGGATGAGCTCAGCCCCGCCCTCGACCGTCCCACCCGCCGGCCCGCAGGAGGCCCTGTTCCCAGCCCGAGTGGTGTACGACCTGCTCTTCTACTTCATCGTCATCATCATCGTGCTGAACCTCATCTTCGGGGTGATCATCGACACCTTCGCCGACCTGCGCAGCGAGAAGCAGAAGAAGGAGGAGATTCTCAAGACCACGTGCTTCATCTGCGGTGAGGCTGCCTGGCGCCCGTGGGGCGGCCTCCTCCCGGCCCTCCCCAGCCATGGGCAGAGGGACGCGAGGACAACGGCCCCTCACCGGGTGCCTTCTCTGCCCCTCAGGTCTGGAGAGGGACAAGTTTGACAACAAGACGGTGTCCTTCGAGGAGCACATCAAGCTGGAGCACAACATGTGGAGCTACCTGCACTTCATCGTGCTGGTGCGCGTGAAGAACAGGACGGACTACACGGGCCCCGAGAGCTATGTGGCGCAGATGATCAAGGTGCCGGGGGCCTGTGGCCATGGTGTCCTGTCCCGCAGCGGGGCAGGAGCGGGGCAGGCCTGACCTGCGGGGCCTGGGAGAGCTGAACGCCGCCTGGCTGCCAGTCCGGGATGGGCCAAGGCGGGGAAGACAGAGCAGCTGTTTTGAGCGCTCTTGTGTACAGGTTCATCTGACGCCCTGGCGATTCAGTTTGCCACAGGTCCCCAGAACCACTGGGGCCTGCCCCTCCCGTCCGCCGGTGGCGCAGCTCTTGCCTCGCAGACACGTGCTCGTGCAGGCCCTGGCCATCCGCCTGCACCCTGCCTGCCCTCTGCCTCATGTCTCCTGGGGTGTGGGAAGGAGGGAGGGAGACAGGGAGACCCCGGGTCTGGCTGCGACCTCCCTGCACCACCCTGTCGCGCAGACAGATGGCGCTGGACAGCGAAGGCGCAGGCTGGGCTGGCTAACAAGGCAGCTCCCCGGGGACCTCTCCCCTGGAGGACCAGGCCACTTCAGATTTCCTGGGACCCATCCGGGCTGGGAATTGTCCAGAGTGCAGCACAGGGAGTGTCCCGGCCCACCGGGAAGGAGTTTCCCAGAGCAGGGTGGGTGCTGCTCGGAGCCTGCTCACGGTGCCCACGTCTCCTGCAGAACAAGAACCTGGACTGGTTCCCGCGGATGCGCGCCATGTCCCTGGTGAGCGGCGAGGGGGACGGCGAGCAGAACGAGATCCGGCTCCTCCAGGACAGGCTCAGCTCCACCATGAAGCTGGTGTCCCACCTCACCAGCCAGCTCAGTGAGCTCAAGGAGCAGGTGTGTGCCCGGCCTCCGCCCTGCCCACCCGCGGCGAGCAGCGACCGCGGGCCCTGCCCGATCCTAACACCCTCTCCTCCCAGGTGGCTGGGCTGGGCGGCCCTGCAAGTGCGTCCCCTTCCCGCAGCCACTCGGCTCAGGCCCATCTGGTGCACCTGCCCGAGGGGTGGCCCCTCTTGAGGTGGGGTCTCTCCCCGCTGTGCTAATGGAGACCCGGGGTTTGAGGCTGACGTCCATGCTGAAGGGCAGCAGGGTCCAGGGCACAGGGTGCCAGCGTCCTGACCGGGCACCTGTTTGACCCCAGATGACAGAGCAGCGCAAACGCAGGCAGCGCCTGGGCTTTGTGGACGTCCAGAACTGCATGAGCCGCTGAGGAGAGCCCGTCACTGGGGACCGGCTGGGCACGCGACGAGGTGCCCACCCTCCCCATGCCAGTCCCTCCGCCCCCGCCCAGGCTGCCGCCAGCCTTAGAGGTGCGAAGTTTCTGGGACTCGGTTTACCTGATGCCGTCGGAGCAGTAACTGACACAGCTTCGTGGCTGAGTGGGCGGCTTTCTAAGCACTACGCTTTGGTTGCTGCCCGCCTCTGGGGGAGGTGGCAGTATGCTGTTACTAGAGATTTTAAGGCTTTCTTATTTAACTTATTCGGAGGGGCTGCTGCAGACCACGTGCAGACGCCCTGCCCTCTCCTACCACCTCCCCCCGGCTCCTGGAGACCGGCTGAGCCCCAAGAGCGGCTGTTTTTTGGCGCCCGTTTTTTTCTTTTGGTGTAATGTTTTACAATCCTTTGTCCCCAGAACTAATATGTTAGTTGCCTTAAATAAATTAATAGAGATCTAGTACACGGAGGGCTGTTTTCTTTACTTCCCCATGCGAGGGGGATGAACGGGCACCATCATCACCAGCAGAGGACAGAACGTGCTCTTCCCTGCTGGCTTGGCGCTCGGGTGGTGCTGTGACCTGTGTCCCATGACTGCCACCTGGGCTCCGAGGACAGACTGCATTTCAGTGTGACCGGGTCCCGCTGCAGTCCTCTGTTTTATCCCATGTATGTGACAGCACCCAGGTGTCCAGGAGCCCCTCCCGCTGTGTGCCGAGGGCTCGTCGGCCCTACCCCGGGCTGACCCAGCAGTGCTTTCGGAGCGGGCACTCTGTGCAGTGACATGGCTGTGTCCCTGGACAGCGCCTCTGCCGTGACCTTCCTTGGCACCTGCTGAGGGCTGAGGCCACACCTAGCCTGGGCTCTGCTGTCCTTCAGCCACTTGGCACATGGGGCAGAGGCCCACGTGCTGTCCTGGTCAGGGCAGACGGGGGCCACGCAAGTCCTCGCATCCTGACCTCCCTGCTATTTTCGATTTTCTTCGGTATTTACTGCTGCCCTTGGCTTTCACCCAGCGGCTCCCGTAACAAGAGCCTGAGAACCGTGCTGGTGCAGACCCCTGGCCAGGCGGCTCCTGGCGCCGTGCGGGAGGCACCTTGTGACCCTTCTCAGGCCTCGCTGGGGTCCACGTTCCTCTGCTCGAGCCACACGCTCCCTCGGCATCCCTGCGTGGGCTGAAGTGCCTTCCTTTCGGTGAGGGCCGCACGAGCGAGGCTGGGAGATGTCAGGAGGTTTTATTGACAAACGTACAAGACTCCAGAGTCAGGTTGGGGGGCGAGTCAAGACCCGAGCCCAGGCCTTCTGCTTCTCCTCGGGGCTCTTGGGGGCAAACTTCTCCTGCAGTTTCTTCCACAGCCCTTTATTCATGTCCTGAAACTCTTCCAGGGTGTCTGCAAGGGAGACAGAGACACAAGTCTGAGACCTGACATGTGGGTGGCCCACGGGCTCCTCCAGCACGGCCACTGCTCACGTCCCTGAAGCCTCTGAAAGGCCAGCCCCGCAGGGTAGGGCGACCGAGCACAGTGCCTCTCAGTGTCTGTCGCCTGCCCTCCTCACCCTCAGCACCGAAGCAGGGTCTCTGCTGCTTGCCCCCCTGCTGCACTCGGAAGGGTGGAGGAGCAGTGCCAAGGTGCGAGCCGTACAACCCAGGACTGGAGCGCAACACTCGGCCCCTCCCCGCAGAGCGGAAACCGAGTCGAGGGAGGGCTTAGGTCCAAGAGCTACAAATGGGTGGAGCTGGGGTTTGACCTGGGCAGTGCAGGTTCAGTGTGTGCTGAACAGCGAGCCCCCCCCCCACCATTTCCTCAGGAACCCTCAAGCAAATCGGCCCTCTAAGAATGGCCTCCTCACCTGTAAAGTGAGGACAGAAACAGACCCTGAGGTTGTGGGGGTTAAGGGACAGTGGGGTTGCCTGGCCCTCACTGGAAAGGCAGCTGCCTTCACCGCTGTGACGGCAACAGGGCCATGAGAGCCAGAGGGCCGGGCCTGACTACGCCCACCGCCCAGGAGCTCGCCCCAAGCAGGGTTCCTCGGCCTTCACCGCTGACTGCAGGCCAGGCAAGCATCTGTCGCTCCTGTCCTGCAGCAGAGGCCAGTGGCACCCTGCCCCTAGCCGATGTGAAAGCCGAACGTCTCCAGATGTCACCACAGGTCTGGGGTGGAGGGTGTCTCTTGCCCAGCGGAGAAGCCCTGGTCTAAAATATCTCCAAGCCTAAGGTTCCCTGATAAATATGCTCACACTGCTTAGCTTTCAGAGCCTGGATCTTCATCTGTTAAAATTTATAGGCAGGAATAATGTTTTGAACCGAAAGGGGTACCGTCCATTACCTGCTGCCACTTCCGGTCAGTGTCCCCTGATTAAGCTGGGTGTATGCTCCACCTCAGCCACAGCACGGCCTCCAGTCCAGGGACTTTACTGGAAGCCCAGTTCCCATATGGGGGACAACGCATGACACGGTGGGGGATCCCGTCCACCTGCACCTGCAAGGCCGCCTCCAGTGCCTCTCAGGACCCTGACCCCAGGCTGGACACAATGCTGAGACCACAGCCACCTTCAGCTTCTTACTCTGTGGTGTGGCAGGTCGTTTCTTGCCCTGGCACAGGAAACACTTGTTAAGCTGATGCCACACAGTTGCAGCCAACATACGAGGCTTGTTGTGAAAGCAAATCATCAGCACGTTTCCTGAGCTGAACTCCCGGGCAGAACGAGCTGTGCATGGGCTGTGGCGTCAAGCTGATGCCACACAGTTGCAGCCAACATACGAGGCTTGTTGTGAAAGCAAATCATCAGCACGTTTCCTGAGCTGAACTCCTGGGCAGAACGAGCTGTGCATGGGCTGTGGCGTCCTGCTCGGCTCAGAGGCTTCCCAGGGCAGACGCCGGTCCCTGCCACTCCAAGTTCAAGCTGAGACTTGGCTCGAGCTCCCTGAGGCCCGCACAAGGGCACTGCGTCGGTGCTGGCACTCACACGGACCTAGGGACGTGGGAGTTGATTTCTGTGTCAGGAAAAACAATGCCCATCAAGCCATTTGGGGGGCACAGCATCTTCGTCCCAGAATTCCTGAGCGTCAACACACAACGGCAGGTGATGGCACCAGGCTTTAATCTGCTCAGAAGGGTAAGAGTATTCTAGAAGGTCAAATCTCCAAACTTACTTACCAGACAGGAGGAAAGAGAAATTTCTACAGCACCAGAAGGCACACGTTTCAGGGCCGTGCCCTCTCATTAAAGGTTAGCCTATTTTTGTACACTATCCTCGGCAATAAAAATAGCGATTTCCAGCTCCTGCCGACTTCAACCCTGGCTCCCCCATCACTGACAATGGACGAGGAAAAGTAAGATGTGGGCAGGGCAGGGGATACCATGACTCAAACACCTAGTTGGGCCGTGTCTAGCTCACAGACCACATCCCCTGGGTCAGCTAACTCAGGTGAATATCCCCATGCATGTTTACTGAATGGCCTTTTGCTTTAATTAAAACCCTCACTGTAAAGCCCCCTTAGGACCATAAAAATAATTTTCCTTCCATCCTGATTTCAATGACTTCCATTTAGCAAATATGTATTCCCTTGTCCCCTGCTGCCCAGCCTTGAATTGAAAAGCAGTAAAGATGGATTTTCTACTTCAAATAATGCCTCTGACCTTCTCCACATTCTACGGCTCACAAGCCTGAGCCCTGTAGCTTTGGAACTTCCTCTGGGCTACTCCACAAGGCTCTGCAGCATGCAAAACGACCTCATTTAGACGATTCCCTTTGACCTCTCCAACTCAAAAGACTCCTTCGCAAAAGCAGACCGCGCAGCTGTGCTTTCCGTACCTGTGGACAGGATCAGCTTGTACTCCTCCACGGACAGACCACTGAAGCTGGTGTCTCTGGGGCGAGGGTACTGGCACAGGGCAGGAGAGAGGAGGGAGGGGACAAGTTTAGTTCTGCAGCAGAAGCCTGGGGGTTCCGAGGCCAGGAGGCCTGGCAAGGAGGGCAGCGCCACCTTGAGGCCAAGAGCAGGCCTCACAAGAACCAGGCAGGAGCAGCGGCTCCCACCTCAGGAGTATGGGATTCCTCTGCAAACGCAGATCCGCTGGAAGGTCTGGTGGGAGCCCAACTCTGCATGTCTCCTCAGCTCCTGCTCGAAGACCGAACTGAGTAGAGAGGATTTAGGAGAAATCCCTTAGGCACACAGGCTTTTCCATTTGGCAATGTCTATTTGTAGAGTTACTGAACATACTTTTCAAGTCTGGAAAAACCACACTAGGTGGAGTTTGACAGAAATCCCTATCAGGGCTGAGGAAGAGCACAGCTGTCTCTGACAGGACTTTCCCGACTGCCTTGTGTCCATCACAGACTGGGAAGCACTGGATCCGCCGGCGTGGAGGGGAAAATAAGTGTGTAAGGTTCAAGGTTGCCAGAGACTGCAGGAGCGCACGCTGGCATACAAAATACCGTACATGGCTCCTATTCATAATTTTTTTTTCTTTTTTTTGGTACTGGGGATTGAACTCAGGTCCTTGTGCTTGTGAGGCAGGCAGCAGAACCACTGAGCCAAGTCCCCGGCCCTTCCTATTCATAATTTTTTTTTCTTTTTTTTGGTACTGGGGATTGAACTCAGGTCCTTGTGCTTGTGAGGCAGGCAGCAGAACCACTGAGCCAAGTCCCCGGCCCTTCCTATTCATAATTTTAAATAGCTTTTATTTAGGTAACCTAAAAGCCTCTACGAGGCACCTTTGTTGGCGAGGCTGAAATTGCTGGTTATATCTGAAAGTAGCAGAACGCTGTATAATGAGATTTTCACTCCCTTACTGGCTGCCCACCCCAACAGAGGTTGGGGCCCAAGGCCCACAGCCCACTCACCTTGTGTTTGTAGTAGTTTGAATGGAGTCGTGCTAAGCTCTCATACATCTGGTCACAGGCCTCGGGCTCCGCAACCTGGAAGACAGAGAGCCCAGGGCAGTGAGCAGGGCAGCCGTGACGCTGGCTGGACCAGCTCCTGGAGGAGAGCCAAGGCAGTGAGCCGTTCACAGGAAGCAGGCCCGAGGCCAGCACAGCAGCCTGCGCTGTGGGGAACAAGCCTGGCCTCTAGCGCCTGCTTTCTTTCCCAAGTCACCTTTCTGGAGAAAAGGCTCCTCCTCATCAGCAGGAAAACCTGATCAATCGGCCAGCAAACAAACACATGTCGGGCCCTTGTGACTAGAGAACCACCAGGCCGGCTGCAGTAGGAAATTCCACAATAAAAAGCCTAGATAAAAAGCCTAAGACCCCAAAACAAAAAACCCAAATTCCCTGGGTGGGCGCTCGCACCTGGGGGCAGGTGTGTGTGGGAGCTGGGCGAGGAGGGCCGCGAGGGGCAGGGAGTGCTCTGCAGAGCAGAGGTCTGGCCCAGGGCCGAGGGCGCGTTGGAGGAGCTGGTGAGAAAAACAAGCTCAGAGTTGTGTTAAGAAAAGATTCTTTTATAGAAAGAAAAAAATATCAGTGGTGAGTGCGGGGCTGCTGAAACGCCCCAAGAAGAAAGAAGTATGAATGGGCAGGGTTCAGGTGAGACCTGGCATCGCGGAGGGCGAGATGGGGTGCAGGGGCGCCTGGAAGAAGCTGGGACGGAAGGGAGGGAGGACAGGTCCTCTGGGCGCCTGTGACCCTCGTGGGTGTACCCTGCCTGCCTCTGCCCTCGGCATCACCTCTACAGCTCCTTACGTTTTTATACCAAGAATTCTGAACGCCCCAGAACAAAACTTTCTTTTTTCTTCTCAGAATTCCAATGATACATTTTTTCCAACTTACACCCTTCTTCAAGGCGAGAGAGCGCACAAATACAGGAGTGCAGCGGTTCCACCTGTGTGCGGGTCCAGCAGGGCCCCACTTCACACCCACCTGGACCCGCTGCTCATCCTGAGGGTCGAAGGAGCTGAGGGCACGGTGCGGGGAGCTGCAGGAGATGGAATGCAAGCCGCGCCACAGAAGGGAGCAGACCCCGGCACAAAGGCTGACGGTGGGATTTCACATCAGGCCTTCGCACTGGGCGGGGCCGGCGTGTCCAGGGCTGCAGGGGCAGTGGTGTCCGGCTGCCCGGGGCAGGAGCCCCCGCTGTGGGGTTGGGCGAGTCACCCAGGCTGTGAAGTCACCTGCTGCGATCTTTACCACCCTCTGAATCTGTATTCCTCGGATCCCCTGGAGCAGGAGCAGAGGGCCCCACACCCCACACTCTGAGTGTTTCCAGACGGCGCCTCCTGTGTGACATTGGACACGCACACAGCCGATGACATCCAGCCCGCTGCCCGCATCCCAGCCGTGGCTGTCGTCTCGTGGAGGCCCCCCAAGACAGAGGGCCCCAGACCCCTTTAATCCGGGACTGTTCCTCACCCCTTCTCTTCCACACACTGCCACGTTTGAGGCATCCTGGCCGGCTCACCCTTTCTAAGGGAAGGGTGATAACAACCCCACGTCCGAGGGAGGCAGGAGGGCAATGAAGCAGTACATGGACTGCTCTGGACGCCAGGCCGGAACACAGGATCAGTGTCAGCAAGAACACAGGCCCGGACCTCATAAACTCAACAGGGACAGACGGGATGGCGCAGGACAACCCCGGGGGCAGTGGCACGAGGGGTGTGAAGGGGGCCAGGAAAGCCAAGGAAGCAGGGCCGGAGGACAGACACAGGTACAATGGAGGACGGAGGCGCCGTGGGCAGGGACCAGGGGCAGCACAAGCCCAGGCCCTGTGAGAGCGTTGGGTGGCTGCTGCCGAGGTAGGAGTGAGGATGGAGCGGGTCCCGGCCTGACCGTGATGTCGCCTGCTGCTCCGCGGCCAGGCCAGGACTCGAAGGCCGGCCCAAGCAAGCAGCTGCTGCTGTGCCCAGTCTCCCGACCGCGGTTCATCTGGACATTCCCCTCACCACCATGCTGGCCACCTCCGGACCGGACACTTAGAAAAGGCACCCTGCTGCCTGCTGCCTCCCCGGGTCTCCCTGGCTCTACCAGGCTCTGATCAAAGTTGTGTTCCGCACCTGTGCCTGTAGAATCCTGCCAACTACCGTGCTCCTCCTGCTCCCCGCCAACCTCTCTCCAGGTGAGAAGGTGTGAGGGCTGCTCAGCCACCTCGTCACATCACGGGGGGCCAAGGACAGGCGGGCCACACTCACAGAACACTGTTCCTGAGAGACCAGAATGAATGAGGCCTGAGGCAAAACCGAAGTGACTCCGAGGCCCCTACCTCTTAAAAGGCCTTGGTGTTGAGAGGGCGGACAGAAAGCCTGCAGCTCGGCCCGCAGCGGGGGAAGGAACCTCACAGCCACGGGCCCTGGAAAGCAGCCTGCTCTGCTCTCAGGTCACCACTTAGGTCAGAGGTGTTTCCGTGAGGCCGTGAGAGGAGCTGAGGGGAGGGGAGGGAGGCTGAGCTTTGCCAATTTCCAGAAAGTTCTCGTCACTGAAGCAAAGACAGAGTCATGGGCAAGTCTAGGTTCTCAGTCACACCTAACTCCAGTGCAACTGAAAATCAAACAACTGTGTACCACTGAAAAGGCCGTCGCTGGGGACACTGATCCCAGAAGCCTCACTGCGCACCTACGTATTACACTTTATCCACAGACTCTACCACAAACATCGATGGATTTTGAAATACACAATTTTTTTGATGAAATGTACTATGCGTTTTTAGAAACAGTTTTGTATACAAGCTTTAAGTTACCTGATTTTACATTCACACCTAATGAGATTACAGACATTTTAGGGCTAATAGCAGTGCTGGGTTTGAAAAAGGCAGCAGTGGGGACATTATGAAAAATTCAGCACTGCTCCCTAAATGTGAATAAAATAGATGTTCAACTGACAGAGTGTCCTTTATAGCTCTATTTTTGCTCCTTCTGCATTTCCCCTGCTCAGTCGTCAGTAAATTTCTCTTTACCATATTAAACTTTTATACATACAAATCTACATCAGTGCTGCAGGCACTGATTTCGATTTTCAAAATTGAATTTTGGGTGGTGAAAGCAATTGGTAGAGGGGCCCCTATTCTAGTCACACAAAGGGAGGCATAAACACTTCTGGGAAAGGTTGTTGCAAAATGCTTGGCTAATTAAGGTAAGAGCTGGATTTGGTCCAGGAGGATCTGTGAAAAAAGGTTTCCACGCCTCGGTAATGAGCTTCTGAGATGAGTTCACTCCGTCATGGGGCGCATGCCTCTCAATTCAACTGGGATTTGTTTCCTGAGCACCTACCATGGAAAGCCTGCTCTTTGGGGGGACTGTGGGGACACAAGGACCCAGCCCTAGCCCTGGAGAAGCTGGCAATAAAGCTGAAAGACAAGGCACAGATATGGTGAAAACCAACCCTGCTTTGGGCCACACGGCTGTCATCCCTAAACCTGGGCCTCAGCACGCAGAGCCCGGGGAAGGGGGTGTGACTACAAAGACGGTGCTCCCAGGAGGCCGGGCAGCAGAGCCTGGGAGCCCGCGAGGCTTTAACAAGCTGGGTGAGTCCCCAGGGTCTGCATCACATGAGTCCCCTGAGGCAGGGGATGCATCTGAAGACAGCCTGGTAACTTAATGAGATCCTGGGGATGTAACTCAGCGCTCTCTGCCCAGGCCACCTGTGCTGCAGCCAATCTGGGAGGCAATGAGGACACCTTTGCCAGGCCTCGACTGGACTCATGCAGGGGCGCTAAGGCCAGCTTGGAGGCGCAGATGGATTGTGGATGTAAGGACCACAGGGTACTGAAGGGCCCCAAAGTTGCAGCCACTTGTCCAGCAGTCTACGTATCTTCTGGGAGTGGTGATCACTAAAGAACCTTCAGGGGGGCACCTGCATCTCAGCACAGCCCCTTGTACAAACACTGCCTCATCTCAGAGCTGGGACAGATGACAAAAGAAGTCTGCACTCGTCTTGGAGATTATTTCTCCTGGCAACTCCAGCTTGGCAGCAGGCCCCAGATTACAACTCCCAACAGTGGAACTGGTTCTCGGGCCGGGACTTCAGGGGCCCGTGTGGGGTGAGGCCTGCCCCACCCAGCAGATGCTAGGCCACCAAGGGGGAGGCCCCTGCCACAATGAGGCACCAAGGACCAGCCCCTGGCCGACTGCAAGCCCTCGGAACCCTCCTTTGAGAAAGCGGGGCCCTATTCATACCACCAGAAACCCAAGGAAAGTGTGGCTTCTTTCAAAGGGGACCAGAGGTTTAACCTGGACACAACACAACCAACGGCTCCCTGGGCTGGGCTGGGCTGGGCTCCACAGCAGCATTCCCAGGCCTCCCAAGCGGGCCGGCTGGAGCAGTGGAGCTGGTGCAGTCTGGAGTGCAGAGCTGCCCCTGTGCCTAACCAACTCATTAGGAGCACCGCTCCTTCCCCGAGGCCGAGTCAACAACCGCAGTTGTTCCGCCACCTCCCCGTGTCGTGATTCCTTTCTAAGCGCTCAGTGCCGCAGGGAACACATGTTCATTAAGGAAACCACATTCTGAGGAGGCACAACCCACAAACAGGCTCACAATGGCCCTGGGAGGTGAGAGGTGTGCCGAGTGTCCCTGCTTCCCACCTCCCCAAACCATGAGACTCCCCAAAGGGCAATTGGAGGGGGAGTAAGTGGAGGCAGTGGTTTTTGTGCTCTTTTGGAGCCTGAATTATTAATCTGCCTTCTAGTGAGCCTGGCTTTTCCGCACCGGTGTCCCACTGAGGGCCATCTTGCTTTCCATCCGCACTGGGAGGCAGGAGCGGGGCAAAGAAAAGCAGGTGGGCAAACACAGGGAGGCTTTGAATTTTTTGTCCGAGCAATTCAAGGTTCAAAAAGGTTTGAGCAGGGGAGGAGGGTGAAGGAGGCTCTACGCTCAAGGAACAGGAGACCATTCTAACAAGTGGAGGCGGCAGCAGCTGACAAAAGGCAGAGCCCAAGGAGACCACCTCAGGCCAGGGCTGGGCGGCTGGCACTGTTCCTTACTAGTCTTCCTGCCAGGCAGCCCAGCATACGCCGTTTTTCCTGACTCGGTTTCCCCGTGTGTAACACGGGAATGGTAAGGGCTGCCTCCCTCAGCTGCACCGAGGACTGAGGTCACGGACATGGCACACTGGGTCCCTGAAAGGCTGCTTCACCGCCAGCAGCTCCCCTCCTGTCCTGTGTCATGGCCGCACCTCCACCGAGGGGTCTCAGCCCTGCTGCTGCTGCTGCCACGAAGTGGAGGCGACACAGCAAGAAACCAACTCTCTCGAGGTCTTTCTAAGTGACCAGGCGGCAGTGGGAGTGACTCAGAGTGCTGCTCTGGATCCCAGCAAGGGGCTGCGCCCTCCAACAATAATCACAGTGATTTATTGGGCCCGGGTGCATCCGCAGGTGACTTCAGATGAGGGATTAGGCCAGTGGTCCTGAGTAACACGCTCGCTGCCATCAGCCCACCAGGAAGGCATCCATCAGCTGCCCGGGCAGGCGGTGCGGTCACGACGCGCATCTGCAGCGATGACTCAGCCTGTGTGGGCCTCTGACTGATCAAGAGCTGTCTCCCCAGGTGGTAACAAAGGGTGACAACTCCCACAGAGAGAGGCTCTGCCCTCCGCCTGCTAACAATCAGGTAGGTGACTGTCACTTTCCCAACTCCCTGGGGACCTAAGCCTCTGACTGCTCAAATGGAAAGTGAGGATTGGCTTGTCCCTTTCTGTAGTCCCTGCAGCACCCAGACACAGCAAGCTCCCGTCACCTGGCACCGCTCAACTCGCGGAAAGAGCCTGGACTCCACTACTCCGCTCCCCCTAGCTCTGCTACACCTGCGACTATATTCAAGTGATTCGTCTCCTGAGCCATAACCAATAGTCCCTTCATCTGCTCAGGCAGATACATACTGAGTGGGCCGGAAGGTGCCAAGGACTACAGGACACTGGGCTGGGGTGTGGCATCATCTCTATTCTCAAAAGGCTCACACTAGAAATGTGCATGATCCAGCCCTAGAAAGTGTGAGGTTTGCAGAATTGGGACCAGATGAGATGCTCACCTTAAAGCCTTCACCTTTGGGCTGGCGAAGACTGCTATGAACAGGGTAAGGACCCCAGGGGTAATAACCTCAGTCTCTCCCACAAGTCCTGGGCCAGACGCTCCGTCCATGCCACCCTCTAGTGTCCTCTTGCTCCACTAGGAGGGCTGTTTTGGCTCTGTGTTGGGCTAAGCTGCAAAAGACCCATGCTCCTGCTTGGACAGGTCTTTGCCAAGTGTCGCAAGTCATTTCTTCAGACTGCGTACTCTCTGGGTCTCACCTCCGACTCTGACCGCTTGCCTGAGCCCAGGCTCAAATGACCCACTGCCAACCTGACATGTGCACTTGGAAGACGGCCTTCCTGGCGTCTCAAGTTTAATGTGTGTAACATCAGACTCACAATGTTCTCCAGTGTCCACCTGTTCCGCATCTAGTCTTTCGCAGCTGGGTAAGTGGCACTCAGTTACTTAGGTCAGAAACAATCTAGGTGCTGTCTTACCCTTACCCTTTCCCCATGTCCAGTACAGGAGCAAGTCCTGTGGACGTGGCTTGCACCATACAATCTGATACCAGCTACCTCCATTTCCTGTGTCAACTCCCTCCACACCACATCTTGCCTGGGCTCTGCCAGGGGGCTTCTCTGCGGCCTCATCGCTGCTGATCTCGCCTTCTATAATCCATTCACCACACAGAACCGGAGTGACTTTTACATAAAGGAAATCAGGTCACATCAGTCCCCGAACTAAACGTTCTCGGTGACTTCCCAATGGCCTTGTAAGAGCTAAGTCCCGACGAGAGCTTCTGAAACACTCTCATGCCTGGCTCCTGCCTTCCTTGGACTCAAATCTTAGCAAATTCTACCTCACTTGCTACTCTCCAGGCAGTCTGGGTTTCTCTGTTCCGCTCTCTCTGTTCCTTCTCGTGGAATGCCATGTTCCCCAGTGCACACTGCTGGCTCATTCATCTCTACTCAGAAATGCCTACCGTAAGTCACTCTTTATTATGCTACCCAACTTGACAGGCAGCACAGTACTTGTATGTCTGTTTATTATGTCCTGAACTAGAATGTAAACCCACGCGGGCAGGACCTCACCTTTTAATTCACTGCAATCTCCCTAGCATCAAGCATAGTTCCTGGCACATGTTCAGTAAATATGTGTTCTACGAATGAATAAATCTCACAGCTTCCGCGCCAACCTAGGAAACCAAGGCCTATTACACACAGGGACCCGAGTGGGAGGACTCAAACCTGTTCCACAGGCTTACAGGGGATCAGCTCAGTCAAGACAGACCCAGACGAGGGGTTAACAGCACGACCTCGCGGAAATACCTGTGATCAAAGATGTCTGTGGGTTTCAACCTCGCCAGCGCTCTGAATCACGTGAGAGCTTTAAAAAACTACTGACGCCCGGGCCCCACGCCCACACATTCTGATTAGGTAAGGGTACTGTATTCTTCGAAAGCTCCTCAGGCGATTCCAAGGGTTAGACAGAGAAGTGGGTGGCAGGGGGAGCAAGGGGTCCACACACACGTGCGGCCCGAAAGCCAAAGCCGCGCATGCGCAGCCCGCCGCTAGCCCGCTCCTCGGCCCCGCCCCTGACTCGTCCTTTCCTCCCCTCTCCCAGGCCACCTCCCCGCCGGTCACCTGGGTGTTCTCTCCCTCCCGAAAGGCCTGTGCTACCCGCTGCCGCAGGTAAGCACCCAAGTCCCGGCCCCGTTTGGTCTCGTCCACTGGCCACTCCTCACAGAGCTTAAGAAAACGGCGGTACCGGCCGGCCGCCATTTTGGGCCCGGGTTGCCCCTCCTTGGGGGAGGAGTGGGTGTGTGGCGCTTGCGCACTGAGGTTCGCGGCCTGGCCCAGGCGGGCATGCGCAGCTTCGCGGGTGCTGCGCCGCTCGCCGGGCAGGGGCGCTGCGTCCCCGTTTTGTGCCAGCCGTCAGTCCTCCTTTTCCTGGCACTCGCCCAGCTCGCAGGGGCCACGCTACGCGGAGTGCCGTAGGGACAGCTTTGCATTTCTTTTTCAATGACTGCACCATCTCCAGACTAGAAACCCTCCTCCGAGACCTCTGCTGTTTTGCATAAACGAATATATTTGCATGTAAATGCAGGTTGTTATGAGATGAAGATGTGTTTGCACTCGGTCACGCAGCATGCGCAGGGTTTCCAGCCCCGCTTCTCCAGTACCTGTCAGGCCGCCGGTAACTCTACCACCGGGGCTTCTGCAGGGCTCCTGGCTGTCGTCCGTCTCTGCAGCTCCAGTTGTGCCCATTTCTGTGCCCCGCTCCCCAACCCAGCCGCTTTTCCCCGAAATGCAGTTTTCCTGACTAAGCAGTGTCAGCTGGGTTCCTTTGCCCTGGAAAAACTTAAATTTTTTTTTTTTTTATTGTGGTGAAATGCATATAAAGTTCACCATCTTAACCATTTTAAGCGTGCAGTTCAGTGGCATTAAATACGTTCGCGTGGCTGTCTGTGCAGCTCTCATCCACCTCCAAACCTTTTTGTCCTGTAAAACTGAAGCGCTGTACCCCTCAAAACGCCCCATTTCCCAGCCCCTGGAAGCCACCATTCTGTGGAGTGTCTCTAGGACGTTCCCTCCTGGTGGAGATGGACTCGTACCACTTGTCTCTTGTGACTGGGTTATTTCGTTTAGCAGAAGGCTCTCATGGTTCATCTATGCTGTGGCATATGTCACCCCCTCTTTTGCACTTTAAATTTCTTGGGTTTTTGGTTGTCGTCACCCCAGTGGGTGTGAGGTTGTGCCTCATTGCACCTCTGATTTGCATTTCTGTAATGGCGACGGGTGGTGCGCATGATTTCACGAGCTGAGTGGCTTCTTTGCAGAAACGTTTAGTCAAGTGCTTTGTCCTGGTTTGTGTGTGGTGCTGGGAATCGGGCTTTCACCCCAACACTTTTTTAAATTTTGAGACTGGCTTATTAACAGGTTGCTCAGGCTAGGTCCTCCTGCTTCAGCCTCCCGCAGTATTGGGAGTTACGTGCATGTACCAACACACCCTGCTTCCTCTGTCCCTTTTGGGGTTGGATTTTGTGGTTGTTGTTGTTGTTATTGTCTTTAAGTTTTAGGAGCCCTCCATTTATTCTGGACATTAATCCCTTATCAGATACATGATTTTCAAATACGTCCTTCTGTTAAGACTTCTTTTACTAACTCTTCTCTTGCACATCTCCAGCCACATTACCAATGTGGTCTGCTCCACCCACCACCTAGTGCTGGCTTGAAGCCTCAGCCCTACACTACTTAAGCCATCCTGCAGTGAGCTAAGACCAAGCTGATAGCACTCCACTTCCCCAGACTTCTTCCTTCCTGCCCCACTGACTTTGTAAAGATGTACCCTGGAGACTCCTGCCTCTAGGAGGTACATGTAACAGAAGCAAAGTTGGAGGGGTGGGGGCTTTTAACTGAAGCCGTGGTCTGCGTGGTGTTTTAGCTGTGTGTGTACAGGGTGTTCTGTGAGATCTCATTGCCTTGGGACAGCGTAGCTGGCTGTCTGTGTAAGGACACACTGGCACCCTGGTGTGATGAAACCTGACTCACTTCCCAGAGCATATCTCCATTGTTAAGTGGCACATGACTATTAGACTGTGGTAATGGAATTTTGAAGAAAGAAATATTATTTCTAGCAGTTTAGGGAATGCTATGTCTTGTATCCAGATGCCCCACCAAAGCCTCATGTACTCACAGGTTGAGATTTTCAGATCTGGCTGGGTCTAAGGTGTGTGAATATGGATTAAGGATTTGATAGCTAAATTAGTCCACTGATTGGCTTAGCATGGTTCTGAGTGTGGATAATGCGAAGACCCACCCTAGATATAGGTGGCATCATCCAATAGGCTTGTAGCCTGGTCGGAATAAAAGGGAAAGAAAGCCGGGCATGGTGGCGCTCGCCTGTAATCCCAGCACTTGGGAGGCTGAGGCAGGAGGATCGCTGTGAGTTCGAGACCAGCCTGGGCTACATAGTGAGTTCCAGGTCAGTCTCAACTACATAGTGAGACCCTGTC